GAAATAATAAAAGTACTCCCAGACTCATACATGGGTTTATTAGAACAATTTTACAATAGAGCTCTGATAATGGGACACTATCCTACAATATGGACTAAATCGATCATACATCCAATCTTTAAAAGCGGTGACAAAGACAACCCTTCAAATTACCGTGGTATAGCACTGATAAGTAATTTTTCGAAACTTTTTACAACAATACTAAGATCAAGACTGAATGAATGGGTAGAAAGAAGAAACGTCATTCCAGAAAATCAGGCGGGTTTCCGAAGGGGCCGATCGTGTGTGGACCTGATATTCACGTTGACCTCTCTAATACAACTTTCACTGAGGAAAAAGAGAGGAAAATTATATGTATTTTTTGTTGATTTGAGAAAAGCATTTGACACAGTTCCTCACTCATTACTCTGGAAGAAATTAACCAATCTGGGCGTGAGCTATCAATTTATACATGCAATTAGAAATTATTACGAACAGGCGACTGTGGCAGTCAGATGGAGGGGTTCAATCACAGAAAATATTAAGATACATTCGGGCGTTTTACAAGGAGAGCCACTATCGCCATTACTTTTTATATTATTTATGACGGACCTGATTAAAATGTATGACAACTCAGATCTGACGAGTGTATACCTTCCGGAATTTGGTGATGTTCACCTGCTGATGTATGCAGATGATATTGCTATTATAGGGGAGTCGAGGGTAAACCTCCAAAAAAAGATTAATTTATTGAAGGAATATCTTGGTGTGAACGAAATGACACTGAACGAGTCCAAATCGAAGGTTATGGTATTTCGCAATGGTGGTAAACCCTCAAGAGAAGATAGATGGTACTGGAATGGTAAACCTCTGACGGTAACAAGAAGATATAATTACTTGGGATACCCTCTGGTCAATACAACTAAAACCACTCAAGCCGCTAACTTTTTCAAAGGAAAAGCACTTGCGGCAATAAATGCTACAACCCCAATATTGGCGAAATCAAAAATTAATTCACTAAACTCTGCAATGAAACTGTTTGACTCAATTGTGATGGCTGTTTTGATGTATGCTGCTCCAATTTGGGCAACAGAGTATAAAGATTTATTAGACCATATACAAGATACATTTATTCGTAGGTTTTTGAATTTGCCTAGATATACACCAGGATACATAATAAGACCAGAAACAGGCCGCGTCTCATTAATAATAACAGCTCTGAAATTGACCTTGAAATATTGGCTGAGGGTGCTGAGTATGGATACAAATAGACTGCCTCGAATTTGTTTAACTAGAATGAGGCAATTATCCTGTGCTACAGGTGCGCCCATCGGTTTTATAAAACAATTAAGCAATTTACTTAATAATAACGGATCCTCGTGGCTTACTTATTGTAATGATCCTGACTCACTAAGGAATGCTATCCCTGGAATATTAAGAACTGCGATAGAGCAAACAATACAAAACGACCTAACAAGAATAACCCAATCAAAGTTATATTCCCACTATAGAGACATATATACAACCTTTACCACCGAAGAATACTTCTTAACTGAACTCCCTTTTCCTATCATCAGATTAATTGCACAATTTAGAACCCTTTCAATTTTTTTCAGAGAACACCATTTGATTTTATTGAGGCGTGAAGACCTGAAATGCACTTTCTGTGGATCAGGAATAACAACGGAGATGTTGCATTACTTATTTGACTGTGCTGCTCTGTCTGAGGAAAGACGAAAACTAAATGATAAAACGGGGCAACTTTGTCCTTCATTTCCGGCACTGATTAATGAAATATCAAAGAATAGGTATATAGCGATGGCGATATTTGGATTCCACAAGACTATATCCCGGAAAAAGGCCTCACAGTGTTCTCCCTATCCCTTGTGAACTGGCGAATCCTGTATAGGGCGAGTGGCCCTAAATAAAGGCTTTTTGTTGTTGTTGTTGTATATTCTGCATATATATATATATATATAAACTTTCAAAATGTTCGATATGTTAATATTCATCCTCAGTTCTCTCACTTTGCGTTATTAAAAAATGTTAAAATATTTTCCATAAACTTTCTTTAAAAACATCTCCTCTTTATAATAATGTAAAGTAATTAATTGGACAAGTGAAACTTATCAATAAATAATTTATGAGTTTATTACCAGTTGCAAATAAGACACGATATATCCGATCTGGATAATTGCGCATGAAACTATTGACAATAATTCATATTTAGTAGAGTGTTATGAATTTCGAGATCAAAATCAGAAAAACGATTATCACATTAATTTACAAATGCAAAGAAGAATTCTAGATGTTTCTGAATCAACAATTAATATTTAGGTGATAAATAAATTATATGTTACAATATTGACATAAATAAACTGAACACTCCAAGAGCCTGGGTTAATCAAATAAATAATATATCACTTCATTATTAAAAAAATATTCTTAATATATAGGGCCAAATTTATATATATTTTTTGTATATTTTGAAAAATTAAAAATGTTAAATAAAATTCAAATTTGACCAATTCAATTGACTACCGTTAGAGGGGAAAAAAAGTTTCAAACATTAAAACCAAACTCATCACGTGCTCTCAACCAAGCAATAGAATAGAATAACAAAAGGCTCGTGAGTTACTTTCGTACAGTTATTGCGAAGTTTTATTAATATATAAATGAACTAATAAAATTTGAAGCCAGGATGTTTCCTGTAATTTTCTACGATCTTATGATGTAAGTATTTTTAATTGAAGATCTATTTAGAAAATTTAAAAAGAAAAAGTCATTTGACACTTAACTAATTTGTGTAGTTTTATTTCGCACTAATTCGAATTGCGTATTTAACCAAAATTTGCTTTAAAAGAAAAGTAGTTAAGGCTATGAAATTTTTAATATGCATATTTAGATTTATAAAATAGTTGTAGAAAAGAATTCGTATAAACCTAAAAAGAAAGTACGTTTTAAAAAAATCTTTTCAACACACAGAGAAATAGGGATGAGCAAATTTTCATTTATTAATGTTCTTAACGTTAAATAATATTTATACTCTAAAAAATATCAATCCATTTTTAAACAAAATTTATGATCGTTTTTTTTTTTTGGTTATATTTATACACATAGCTTCGATGTTTTTAAAGAATAAAATTGACCTCTTAGAAAATAAAGGGGAAACCAATTATATATATAATAGAAATTGACTTTATTAAGTGAATTTTAAAAAATTGAATTAACAACAACATTCATTTAAAAAAAAAAATTTATAGTTGCACCTCATCATATTAGTGTTAACTTTGTTATAAAAATTATAAATTTTAGCACCAAGTATAAAGTCCATATTTTTTTAACAATTGTTATAACAATGAATTGATTATAATAAAGTGAAATTTTAAATAAAATGAAAAAATAGATGAAAAATAACATGAAATTACCAAATATATTTTTTTATATAGTGAGTGTTAGTGAAAGGTAATTTGCGCTGGGCCTAACGTGGACTACCGGCGGTGCGCGGTGCGCGGCGTTGGTGGTGAAGCCAAGTCGGCGCGCATGCGCGGCGGCGGCAGAGACGTTCGAAAACTGACGGCCATCACGGGCCGATGTGCTCTCCCATCCATCCGTTTGAATCGAACATTTTCCAACTTCTTTTTTACTAAAAATTTAATTTGTAACATAATATTAATATCTATATTTATCCTTAATAAATTAAAATACCACGGATGATTAATTGAATCATTTTTTCAATATCAAACGAACCACCCCAATATAAAGTTGATCCTCTTTAAATATTATCACCTTTGCTTGAGACCATTTTTATCCAAACGAACCTACATCATAGTGTACCAATCAAAAGTGTACCGCACAGTGAGTTTTTCTAAATTTCGTCTGATTGTCACTATTTGCCCTGTAAAATGAAAATTCCAAGATATTTATAATGACATTTGATAGCACGGGTGACACCGTAGATTTTGGCCAGTTCTGACCTATGATGTCACGATGACGCACGATGTAAACAAAGGTTAAGATTTGGTCATTGTTTTTTTTTTAAACACGATTTAATATATAGCTTGTAAAGCTTGAGAACTGGGTGTAGTAGAATGCTTATGCAGAGTTATGCTGTAGAGTCTGCTGCCAATGTTGAATGGTGTGAGCAGGCTGCCCCTCTACTATGAGGCCAAACTGTCTGCAGTGGTCTGGATGAGCTCCTCCTACACCCAGGGCTCCACCCTGCTGTACCGTCGCCTGGTGCACCCTGAGCTGGTGCGCAAGGAGCCCCAGATTGAGAGCACCTTGGAGAGGGTGCAGGCGGAGTGCTGGAGGCTACTGCTGCAAGTTTGGGCCCTGGGTCGTAGTTTGGTGTTGGAGGGCATAACTGCCATGCTGCACTCTGTGAGTACTCCCCAACATTGACATGGCTGTACTCCCCAACACTGACATGGCTATACTCCCCAGCACTGACATGGCTGTACTCCCCAACACTGACATGGCTGTACTCCCCAACACTGACATGGCTGTCCTCCCCAACACTGACATGGGTGTACTCCCCAACACTGACATGGGTGTACTCCCCAACACTGACATGTCTGTCCTCCCCAACACTGACATGGCTGTCCTCCCCAACACTGACATGGCTGTACTCCCCAACACTGACATGGCTGTACTCCCTAACACTGACATGGCTGTCCTCCCCAACACTGACATGGCTGCACTCCCCAACACTGACATGGCTGTACTCCCCAACACTGACATGTCTGTCCTCCCCAACACTGACATGGCTGTACTCCCCAACACTGACATGTCTGTCCTCCTCAACACTGACATGTCTGTCCTCCCCAACACTGACATGGCTGTACTCCCCAACACTGACATGTCTGTCCTCCCCATCTGTCCTCCTCAACACTGACATGTCTGTCCTCCCCAACACTGACATGGCTGTCCTCCCCAACACTGACATGGGTGTTCCAGCAACAACAAGTACGGCATCATGCGGGTTCCACCCCAAATCCCTGTTCGAGAGGACAACCAAGAGCCTCCTCGGAATCGAACCCGGGCCTTCTGGGTGAAAGCCAGATATCCTAGCCACTCGGCCACGTGGGACTTAATTCCGCCTGGTAGGTCCTCCTCCAGTTATTTAACTAGAACCTCAAGTTCTAACAGCTATGTAATGAGGTTGGTATATTTCATTGGATAAACAAGTTGGGGCCAGCCATCTTGATCTTTATAAGCTGTAATGGACTGATGAATATACCAGACTGTATAGCGACTGTATTGTTGTCTCAACCTGAAATTTGTCTTCCCTAATTTTCCACGTGGCAATATTATATAAACCACACATTTTTGTTAATATAAAATAAAATTTTCGGGATTCAGATCCTGTCTGGATTTTGTTTATTGGGATTTTGGGCTGTCGGGATTTTGAACCAGAACCGTTTTACACACGTATGGAGAGAACAAAGATAAAGGCAATGAGGAAGGAGTTAAATGATCAAGTACCCTCTATCGAATAAACTTATTATACATTTCCTATCATAACACTGATACCACATACCTTACTGTAATGATAGAAAAATTACAGTTCTATTAATCTTATTTCAACACACAAAACGCGATATCCCGGCTAGGGATAATTAGGTCGATTTACATTTTTTAAACAGAAACAGTTATAAACATTTTATACAAAATCTATATTAATAAAATGGAAATTTCATAAGTGTTGTCCACTAAAAACTTTCGTTACAATGCATCAATTTCGACCAAATTTTCAACATTTATGTAAAACGAGATGGAGCAGTTTTGCTTAACATCAAAATATTTTTCCTAACATTAATATGCGTAACTTCGCTGTTATCGATTAAATACAAAAAATCAACAAAGTTAATTTTATTTATATACTAGCGGACGTACCCGGCTTCGCCCGGGGTTATACCCGAGTAAAGGTTTGTCTAGCAAACATTTGTTAAAACAATTCTCTAAAAACTTATAAAAAAAAAAAAAGATATATTTTGATAATTTGAAACTCGTAAATTTGAATCTCTCGATAAAGTGAACATTTTTTCCCGGTCCCTGTGTGCCGTGTCATCCTGAATTTTGTCTTTCCTAATTTTCTACATTAGAAAATCATAGTTTTATCTAGTGAACATTTTTTCCCGGTCCCTTGAAAAATACTCGATAAGTTGAATAAAATCAATATTAATTGGTTCCCTCGGTAATTGGAAGTTAAAGGAATAGTATCTTGCCTTGGAATTGTATCTCAAATAAATTGCCGTGTCATCCTGAATTTTGTCTTTCCTAATTTTCTACATTACAAAATCATCGTTTTATCTAGTGAACATTTTTTCCCGGTCCCTTGAAAAATACTCGATAACTAACTTTGACTTGTGCGCAATTAATAGGTAGAAAATCTTACTTTTGATAAATAATCTTTAAGATAATAAACTTAGTGATAATAAAACTTATAGATAAAAAAATGGTGATATACCTAATAATATCCCAAAATTTCACGGCGATTGGATGTATGGTTTTTGAATCTATAGAGTACAGACAGACAGACATTCAATTTTATATATATATATAGATATAGATTAAACTGATGACCTGGATTTTCATAATCTTCGTTTCAACATGGCAAATAAATATATTATTAGAATATTACTGCTTTATATGAGTTTGAAAAATAAAAAATTGACTATTTGATTCTACAGCTACATCTACTTTTTTAACAACTCCATTCAAAATGGTGTTTCAAATGTTTTATAAGAGTTTAAGGCAAAGAAAAATGTATCAGGATGTTATATTGTTGCACCAAATGCGGCTTGGCAGACTCTTCAACCTTGATTCTCTCCTGTGCTGGGTCTTGCATCTTACCAGAGCGTGTTTCAACGATCCTACAAATTTATATAAGGAAATAATGAGATAACTCTACTTTAAGTAGCCTCCAGAATAAATTATTTATTTCTCACATCAGTGATTTTATAATACATAAACCGGTTTATAATCTTCTTCTTCTATATATATAAAAATGAATGTTTGTATGTTTGTTTGTTTGTATGTCCGGTATACAAATTCGCAGTAGTTCACTAATTCAAACCAAAATTTCCATACATAGGTAAAAAATATACGGGGAAGACGATAGGCTATTTAAAAAAAATTATAAATCAATTATTAAAATAAATATAATTCACGAACAGCGCTCTCTATCATAGATTAGATTAAATTATGCTGATGCAAACAAATAGATAATGCTAATAACAAACAATTATAAAAAAATCTTATCTAAATATATATCACTCGGTAGATATGCACACGGGTCACCCGTCTAGTATATATATATATAATATTTTTGGTCGCAGTGGTTACAGCCTACTCCACGCTGACGAGCGCCAATAGCGCGAAACGCGTTCGTGGATGGCTTTTCTTGATTTACCAAGAAATTGGGTTGGCCAAATATCACAGAACAAGTTAAATAAACGTTTAGTTTATTTATGCTCCACTAGATGGCGCTCTGCCATCTAAAAAGCACATGTGCTCGTGGTCAGGAAATCCCTTTTTTATTTTTAATATATATATATATAATAAAAATTTTCTGAATGTACATTCAAGCTTGTTTAATTTTTGGTTCAGATATAAATATGACATGATATTGTAATTGATATTTATATGGTGTAAATATTCTCAAATTTATCCAACGAGCAGTTACAAACAGTATTTTTAAAACTTTGCGAACCCTAATAATTTCATCTTCGCACCTGCTTCTTCTCTGGATCTCTTTGAATGATCTACGCTATATAAGAAAATATTCCTGATAAAGGTGGATTGTTGTTTGTCTAGTTGTATGTAGAACTCCTTTACTATGCCGCACTGCGGAACTTGGCTATTTTGGGTCACCTCGCCAATGCTGGGCCTGCTGAGCTTGTGGATGTCCAGGCCAGACTGGGGAACGCCATTCTGGGTGTGGGGCCACACTGGGACACCTGGGGGCATATGGGGTTCCTGGACACAGTAGAGCAGCTGGGGGCTTCTGGGGGTCGTGGGGCTACTGGGGGTCTTGCCCACTACGGGCACCTCGCCGCTTTGGGGGTCCTAGGGCCATTGGGGGTTTTGGCCACTTTAGGCACTTTGCCACTCTTGGGGTCGTGGGGCGCCTCGCTATTCTGGGGGAACTCACCGCTCTGGGGGTTCTGGGTCACCTGGCCGCTTTTGGGGTCGTGGGGCGCCTCGCTACTCTGGGGCAACTCGCCGCTCTGAGGGTCATGGGGCCACTAGGCGCCATGCCGCTCTTGAGGTCCTGGGGCCACTGGGGCACCTCGCCGCTCTGGGGGTTCTGAGGCCACGGAGGATCTCGCCGCTCCTGGGGTCATGGGCCACCTCGCCGCTCATGGGGCCATTGGGGCACCTCACTGATCTTGGGTTCATGGGGCCACTGGGGCACCTCGCCGCTCTTGGGCTCATGGGGCCCCATTATAAGGGTAGTGAGTCCCACCTCCATCGGTCAAACACATATTCAAATTTAACAGCCTGGATAACATTTATAAATTGGCGTGTCTACTTTCGCCTCCATCCTAGTGTACCCCAAACTCAAGACACCTAAGAAAAACGCATCAAAGCTCCACTACTTCATATAGATAATAAAGAAGAGCTCCTTTTTTGAAAGATGCTTTCAATGGTGCTGCCTTTTAACTTCAGCCTACTGGAGACATAACAACCCCTTCCAACTCTTATACCTCAGTTTCGGCGGCGGAAATCTGTGATAATTCTCTCTGCTATTTACAAATTGATATAGATCTACAACATTATTTATTGTCTGTTGTCTAGCGATAAAGAAGAGTGGACATTCCAGCAGTAGGTGTCTCGAGTCCTGGATTTCCTTGTCACAATGATAGCTAGAGTCCTCAACCGCTCCAATTGTTACTAAAAATCCCTTAAAATTTACATGGTTCGTTGTAAACTGGGTATTGTAAAAGTTAGAACGAAAAAAATGATGGAGACTTGGCTCATTAGTCGTGAAATCTCTCCGTACATATCCTAAATGCTATCAAATAGTCTGGGACAGAATATTTTAATAATAGTGTTAAAATAAAGGTTTATAGACTGATTTTGGAAAACCAATAAGTGTATCTTTTGTTTATAAATTCAAAATAATATTTAATCATGCTTCTTACTATTTCTTAATTAATTCTCGTTACTTATTTTAATTAATAATTTAATTAAATATCATTTCGAGGTCCCGATCTAATAGGAACTAAATATCGTAGAAAACCAAGTTTGAGCGAAGGATGATATTGTCTCGCCATCTATTGACAACTTTTGTAACTATTTATAATATTTAACCATTTAACACTATATATAAATTTATATATTTTTATGTGTATTTATAGCATATATTATAAATATATTATATTATAAATATATTTTATAATATATACACGCATTTATACATATTTATATGTATTATTCTATTTTACATATATTTGTGCTTTAAAGTGCTTTAAAAAAAAGGATATATTATGTAACTATCCTGTTATATAATATCATAACACTTCAGTCTTTCCGTTCGTCTGAGACAAATAATGATAATGATAATACTAAAATTATGATAAAAAAAAAAAAAAACTCCGCCCTTGCCGGTCTCAAGCCCGAATGAAAAAGGAGGAGGGGGAGCAGTAACAAGCTCGCTAAAAAACCTAGGCTCAGCTGGCCCAGCTGATAGTACCCTGTAAGGGCTCCTAATCCAGGGATACAGGATGAGCAGCGTTTGTACTCCATGTTAAGAGCGGTTGCACATGGTATCTGTTCCTCATGTCAGAGGCGGCTATTTCTTTTGGAGCTAAGTCGGCCTGCTACTGAGTAGTGCTCCCAGTCTTGATGACAAAGGCAGACGCATTCTACTTCACCCAATTATGACTTTACAGGATTGACACCCTAATATGATTGAATGGAGATAAGAAAGAAGAGAAGAAGTTGATAATAAAACCATTAAGGTAAATATTCAAAAATGACAAAGGTTAGCTGTCATTTGAGATCCATTCATATAGCAGGAATCTCTCTTATTAAAATACAAACATAAGGCCTCCTTTTTTACGAATCATTTATTTATAAATA